CCCCATCTCTTTTTTGCTAAAACATCTCCAAATACTCTTTCTTTTTTATTCACCATGTTGGATATTTAAGTTTGCAAAAATGGTGGCTGAAAATGAGAAAGAAGAAGAAAAAAATAATTAAAAAATCGACTAAATAGGTTTTTCACGTGCACTCAACAATGTATTACACTCACTAAGTCATGTAAGCAAAAAGTGTCAAAATGACACAGCGAGACCCTACATGAGGTGTCTAAAATGAACATCGCCCACTTGAGGTGCCTAAGTGAAACTTCGTGCCAACTTTAAGAGTCATCCAACGTACACATCACCCCTTTTTTCGAAGAGAAATTTAGATTTGGTTTGGATTGACTTGAAGTTGGTCAAATCAATTTTTAAATTATTTTTAATTTTTAAAAATGTTTGACAAAGTTAAAAATAACTTTAAATAGTTAAAACTTAAAAGTAGGTCTTCTCCTACTATTCATTTTTTGACTTGTTTGAATTTTTATTTTTTGAGTTAAAAACTAAGTACTCTTTTTAAGTCAATCAAAACATGCTCTTAGTAATAAAAAAAAAACGTGTCATAAATAATAGAAAATCATTCTCCCTTTGTTTTTATTTTTTTTATTTCATTTTAACTTGATATCGAATTTAAAATAATAAAAAATAATTTTAAATCTTATGATCTAAAATTAAAAATATATTTATAAAATAACTTTAATCTTATAATCTTAAATATATTACGTGTAAAATTAAAATTTTAAAAACTATTTTTTTATTTTTTTAAAAAAAATAGATCAAACAAATTTAAACGGAATATTAAAAATCTAAGAGACAATAAGTAGTGGTAGTCAAGTAGCAAATAATCAAACTTGAATTAAAATATGACTAACCGTGCAAAAAAAAATATGTCAAAAGCTGAAATTATTGTACTGCGTGTTTGTGTCATCATTAATATTTGTCGTGATCTTCAATGAGAATCAAACTTTAGATCTATTATTGTGAAAAAAATAATATGTTATTGATATTACAATATTGATTAAAACTATAGGGTAAATAATTGATGTGTATATAAAAAGGTCATAACTGATATTATCCATTGAAATAAATCAAGAAAATCTATGGCAGTTGCTTTATTTGTCCAAGATATCAAGAACAAATTTCTAGATCTAATTAAATTCCTTATTTCTTTTGGTAAGTGTATTTCATTTTCTTCTTCTTTTTCATCTTTAGTAAAGAAATAGAAAAAAAATTATCTTAAAGAAGTTTATTTTTATAACTTTGATCATGATATTATTCTCCAGGAAATGATGAGCATGAAAATTTAAACATTGAAAATGAGAAGGTAACTTCTTTTTATATATATATATACATTTAATATTTTGTTTTGTTTTTCTCCTTTCATTAAATTCCTTGACACTTCATTTACTTCCACTTCAATCTTTTTGCTCGTGAGTGGAAAATATATTTCTATTGGAAGTTAATAATGAATTAGCAAATAAGAAGGTATTATGATTAAATTTTTTAGTATTAATAATTAATTTCATAAATTCCTCTAGTTTAGAAATTAATTAATTACTTAGATACACTCTAGTTTACAATATTATGTATCTTACTAGATTTTGGTGCATTCAGATACTTATATTTCAATTGTTCTTGATACATTGTATCTAAGTGGATTCGCATATATATCTTAGATCATCCTCTCTCTCATCTCGCTGCCGCTCTCCTATATATCTGATATTCCAAATAGTGAACACCAGATACATACAACCGGTATGTATCTAATATAATTTGCATGTATCCGGGATATATAACAATATCTCGCTCGCCTCTCTTCCTATTTTAGTGTATATATCAGCAAAACTACATATATCAAATTGTATCTTTTTCAATATATGGTAGGAAACTCTTAATTAATTGTAAGATATATGTAATATTTTAAAAGTATAAATAATAATAGAATATACGGAAAAGGGTCAAAATTGCCCCTGAACTATGTGAAATAGATCACTTATACCCTCTGTTACATTTTGAGCTCAAAAATACCCTCACTCTTATCTTTAGAGACCACAAATACCCCTCAAAAGTTAACAACTCAAATTTTTAATGACATGGCAAGCCATGTGTGACTGATCCTTCCACCTAAGCTGCCAACTAGGATTACCACTAACTTTTTTTAAAATCTAAATCTCTTAAAATTGTATTAATCCAACAAAAAAACAAGAACAAAGTTATTATTATCGAGCCGTAAATTTTCCCTCATACATACAGAAGATACATGTATGTTATACAAAAAATCATCCTATCAAGTTAGATATATTATATATTAGTTATTTATCAAGTGGAAATATACTTGGTTAATAGTTAAACTACGATGAAAAAATAACTTTTAACAGCAATAAATATAAATATTAATAAAGAGTGGTAAATATTTACGTAATTAAAAATAAAAGGTTTTTAATTAAAAATATAAATACTTTTTATGTGATTAAAAATAAAAGATTTATTTCTAATTTTAGAAGGATTTCTAATTGTTGGAAATCCTAGTTGGCAGCTTAGGTGGCGACATCAGTCCACATGGCTTGCAATGTCATTAACAATTTGTATTGTTAACTTTTGAGGGGTATTTTTGGTCTCCAGGGATAACATCGGGGGTATTTTTGATCTAAAAATGTAACGGAGGGTATAAGTGGTCTATTTCGCATAGTTCAGGGGCAATTTTGACCCTTTTCCGTAGAATATATGATAATGAAGTATGTGTGATTACGTAGTTTCTCCTTTAAAATATACATATTTTCTTGAATAATGACTTCCGCCATATCAAACACAATGTAATGTAATTTTTATTTTGGATCGTTCAAGGTGATATTTTTTCATATATATATTTTTAGTATTTATAAGTAAAGATTTTTTTTTTAATTATTTCAAAAATAATTACAGGGAATAAATGAAGAAGAAAAAGGAGCTTTTGTAAGGCCAGCAGCAGCAAGACGTTCAACACCTCCAGGAAAACGTAAACCTCCTCGATTTCAGACTGGAAATAATATTTCCTAGCTGTAAATAAAATAATTAAATTTGTAGATTTTGAAAATATTGAATTTTTTATGGTTTTTTTAATGTAATTTGACGAGCGAAGTTTGTTTTAGTGGTGAAGCACCTCTATAATCAATTGATAAATTAAAGGCTCATGTTACAACTCTATTGAGCTTTATTCAGTAGAGGTACTCGATTCAGTGATCGATTTTTAGGTTTTATTATAAGTCTTTATGTAAATCAATAGTTCAAGTCGCTCTCAAAGGTATAACACTTGTTCATTTTGATAATTCAAGCCTATATTAATAGCTAAATATACATTCTTATTAGGGTATTTTGAGATTACAATTCTAGCATATATGTGTTTTCGTCGAAAATCAATTTTATGATGACCCCTATTTCGAAGGCAGCCCTGGGTAAAAGCTTTTAGCCAAGGCTGGGTTTTGCTTCCATGAAATAGGAAGGATAAAAAAGTTAAAGGTATATACAGCATAATTATAACTTTTGTATTAATAATTTTACATTTATCTTTGTCTATCTTATTTTTAAGATTACAAATTCCTTTGTCTAACAAATAGGATGAATCTATATGATCA